GCCCCGAGTCGCCGAAAGATCTTTCCAGTACGCTCAAGATGGTCTCCAGATGGCCCCGAAAGCCGCGAAAGAAACCCAAGAGAGCCACAAGAGGGCTCCCCATGAAGGCCCCAACAAGCAAAAATCCCCACAATCCATCCAGAAGACGTACATTGTCGAAGGTGCGGCGTTTCTGGGTTCACAGCGTCCAGAACTGCCCCAGATGCCTCCAACATCGTCCCCAGACGGCCCGACACGCCCCCAAGATGGGCCCAAGATGGGCCCAAGAGAGCCCAAGAGAGCCCAAGACGGCCCCAAAGACGGCCCCAAAGACGGCCCAAGAAGCCTCAAAGAGTACCCAAAACAGCCCCGAGATGGCCCCAAGACAGCCCAAGAGTCGTCCAAGATGGCCAACGACAGCCCCAAAACGGCCCCCAGATGGGCCCAAGGAGGGGACCAGGAACCGAAAAGTCCAGCCTTCAGCCCGAAGAGGCCCCCAGGAGGCCCCAAGAGGCCCCAAAGAAGCCCCAAGAGGCCCCAAGAGGCACCCCAAGAAGTCCCTGGAGGCCCCCAAGAGGCTCCGAGGGGCCTCAACACGGCCCCCAAGAGACCTCAAAACTGCCTCCCAGAGGCCCCCCAAGAGGCCAACCGCGAGTGCCCCACCAACATCCATGAGGCCTCTGTGATGGGCCTGTTTTCCACCACCACCACCATAAGTTGGAGGGGGGAGGAGGTGGACGATGCGGAGGAGGAAGAAGATTATCCCGGCAAAGCAACCTAACAGCGATGTGTAGAAGCATATCTGAAAGCATTCCCCTTAAGATTCAGACGAAAATCCAGTTGTCGAAATCTGCTGTTCTCGCAGTCGTAGTAGCATTCGCGATGACAGTCGCAGCGGCAACGGCAGTCGCAGTCACAGCCTCAGCCTCAGCCTGCCTCCTCCTCCTCCTGCTCTTTTTCTCCTCCTCCTCCTCCTCCTCCTCCTCCTCCTCCTCTTCCTCCTGCTCGTCCTCGTTCTCGTCCTCCTCGTCTTGCTCGTCCTCCTCCTCCTGGTGCTCTCTCCTCCTCCTCCTCCTCCTCCTCCTCCTCCTCCTCCTCCTCCTCCTCCTCCACTCCTCCTCTCCTCCTCCCCCCCCTCCTCCTCCTCGTCCTCCTCCTCCTCCTCCTCCTCCTCCTCCTCCTCCTCCTCCTCCTCCTCCTCCTCCTCCTCCTCCTCCTCCTGGTAGTCCTCCCCCTCCCCTCCTCCTCCTCCTCCTCCTCTTCCTGGTCGTCCTCGTTCTCGTCCTCCTCGTCTTGCTCGTCCTCCTCCTCCTGGTGTTCTCTCCTCCTCCTCCTCCTCCTCCTCCTCCTCCTCCTCCTCCTCCTCCTCCTCCTGGTGGTCCTCGTTCTCCTCCTCCTGGTACTCTCCCCCCCCCTCCTCCTCCTCCTCCTCGTCCTCGTCCTCCTCCTCCTCCTCCTCCTCTTCCTCCTCCTCCTCCTCCTCCTCCTCCTCCTCCTGGTACTCCTCCCCCTCCCCTCCTCCTCCTCCTCCTCCTCTTCCTGGTCGTCCTCCTCCTCCTGGTCGTCCTCCTCCTCCTGCTCGTCCTCCTCCTCCTCCTGCTCGTCCTTCTTCTCCTGCTCCTCCTGCTCCTCGTCCTGCTCCTGCTCGTCCTCGTCCTCCTGGTCTTGCTCGTCCTCCTCCTCGTCGTGCTCTTGCCCCTGCTGAAAATGTGGCCCAGGAATGGGAGTTCTGGGAAGTCGAAGAGCACGAAGTTGCCTACAGTTGGCTACGGGCATTCAAAATGTGGCCCGGGAATGGAGTTCTGGGAACTCGAAGAGCACGAAGTGGCCTACAGTTGGCTCCGGGCATTCAAAATGTGGCCCGGGAATGGAGTTCTGGGAACTCGAAGAGCACGAAGTGGCCTACAGTTGGCTCCGGGCATTCAAAATGTGGCCCGGGAATGGAGTTCTGGGAACTCGAAGAGCACGAAGTGGCCTACAGTTGGCTCCGGGCATCCAAAATGTGGCCCGGGAATGGAGTTCTGGGAAATCGAAGAGCACGAAGTGGCCTACAGTTGGCTCCGGGCATCCAAAATGTGGCCCGGGAATGGAGTTCTGGGAAATAGAAGAGCACGAAGTGGCCTACAGTTGCATCCGGCCCTCCAGAATGTGGCCCGGGAATGGAGTTCTGGGAACTCGAAGAGCACGAAGTGTGTGACTGTTGGTGAAAAACGAGGTGGGCACAGCCCGCCCGGCAACTCCCAACACCTGCCCGGACCCCCTTGTGGAGTGATCTGTGAGCTCTTTTGAGTCAACTAGAAACCTATCAGTCTTCGCTGTTAGGTAAAAAGGAGGAGGAGGAGGACCCCCTCCCCCTTCGACTTATGGTAGTGGTGGTGGTGGAAAACAAGCCTATCACTCTGACCCACCACCCAGGCACGGTCAGAGGCGCGGGAAGATCCCTAGCAACTGCTTCACAACTGCTTCTACTTCGCGCGCGCGGGGCGGCCCCCATATAGGGGTCCCCCGACGCAGAGTGCCCCGGCCGGGTCTCCATTAGGGTCGGGCCAGAGATGGTCTTCCTCCCGGGCCCGGCTCTCAGGCGCCCCAGAGCGATCCAAGAGGGCCCCAAGAGGCGCCCAAGACGGTCCAAGAGGGCGCCGAGTCGTCGAACGAGCGGCACGGCATCGATAATTAACAACACCCCGACAAACGGCAGCGGCGAGGCGATATGGGCCGGCGGAGTGAGCGAAGCGATTAACTGAGGTTGTGCAGACCGCCACATGTACACGGGGTCGTCGTTGTAAGCCCAGAAGCCCGGACAGGACACCGCCGTGGAAAGTGTCGTTACAAGTTCGCTACTGGGGGTCCTAAGACCCCATGGTCCCAGGAGCTCACGGAAAGCAAACCAGGCTTGTACACAACACGAAGTCCGACCCAAATAGCAACCAAATGGTTCAACTTCCTGGATCTTAGAAACGGAATATCCCTCCTCATCCCGATTTTGACCGTCCTCCGGTTCTGTCCAACAGTCGTCACGGTACCTGGGTCCTTAAGGACTAAACAAAGGTGATGTCGATAACAAGCGTCTGAAAACAAGGCGCAGGACCTCTTGCTGGACGCGAATCCATCCATCTTGCTTGAAATAAGACAGCCCCAGTCCACGGCATCATTGCGGACAGCTTTGCCTCTGCAGGAGCCAGATTACTGGCCAGGGAGGGGCCCCATGGAGGGATCCCACCAGCCCATTGGGCGAAGGTGGTCCAGCGATACCTTTCCCCTTCCAATACCCTCCTCCCTTCGGAAAAGGGTACCCTTAGGTCGGGCGTGTCGCCCTACACAGGGATTTTGAACGAAAAATTAAAAATAGTCAAAAATACTCACAAAATACCCAAACCTGGTTTCAAACAAATTGTCCCCAGACTATGCTTGACTTTTTTGAATCTGCCCCGTGGAGGGACAGGCCCGGCTTAAGTCCAGCGATAAGTGTCTTTCCCCTGCCAATCCCCTCCTCCCTTCGGGAAAGGGTACCATCCCTATCCGCTCCCTGAGATTGTACTGGGCGGGCCGCGGCAGTCAGGAGATCCAGCTTCGCCCAAGATGGCTCCCAGAGGGCCTCCGATGCTCCCGGATGGCCTTCAATGATGGGCCTGTTTTCCACCACCACCACCACAAGTTGGAGGGGGGACGGAGGTAGAGGACGAGGAGGAGGACGAGGAGGAGGAGGACCCCCTCCCCCTCCAACTTACGGTGGTGGTGGTGGAAAACAGACCCATCATTCAAGAGGCCCGACAAGAGCCACAAGACGGTTCCGAGTGCTCTCGGATCCTCCTCAAGAGCCCCCCAAAAGGCCACAAAGTCCTTCGAAAACCTACGGAAAATCACTGACGGTCGACTTCTCGCCTTGTCGCTTCTGATACGCGTTTGAAGCCTCACGATGGCCCCAGGATGCTCCAAGAGAAGCCCAAGAGGGGCCCAAGAGGCCCCCCAGGCGGCCCCAAGAGAGCCAAAGAGCGACCCAAGAGCGCCCCGAGAGGGCTAGCCCTAGGAGAAAGGCACATTCGCCCCCCGCCCACCACCCACCCAACCCCATTTGATCGATGGCCTCCAGGGCCCCCAAGGGATGCCGGAGAGGGCTCCAAGAGGGCCCCGAGACACCCCAAAAGAGCCCCAAGAGGACCGCAAGATCTCCCAAAAAAGTCCAAAGAGGGTTCCAGGAGGCGAAATTGAGGGCTTTGTCCTCGTCCTCGCTGTCCTCCTCCTCCTCCTCCTCCTCCTCGTCCTCGTCCTTGCCCTCATCGTCTTCTTTGTCCTTTTTCTTTTCTTCCTCATCGTCGTGGTCGTCGTCGTCGTCCTCCTCCTCCTCCACCTCCTCCTCCTGTTTCCCTCGCCCCCACGCAGGCCCCAGGGATAACCCGAAGAGGCCCTGCAAGGCCGCCCCCTTGCTCTCCGAGATCTCTCTCTTGGTTGCCCGCTCTATTCCACTACGGGTCTCTCGTCGTTCCTTTTTCCCGTCAACGCTCATGGTCAGGACTCTCGAATGGGCTGGTGGGGCTGCGCGAGGCGTGAAGAATCGAAGAATTTTATCGACGTAAGGTCTGATGGACACCTTTGGGACACGAAACTGGGCCCTCTCCAGGACGTCATACTAATAGGGACTCAATCCAATGCGTACTCCGAGCATACCCCGCAAAGATGGATTCACCACCCATGAAAACAAAGGAGGGCCTCCCGTCCATCTCCAGTGCCCTGGGCGAGGCATGGATGAGCAATCCGAGGTAGAGGAGGTAGGCGAGACAAATATATTTGGCAGAAAAATGCACAACTTATGCGGGGGTTCGGAATCGAAAAGCTTCTCCGTGTCCAAACTGGCGGACACAGCCGCCATGCCAGACGAGAGCGCAACCA